ATGATTCTATGATTCTATGTATGATAAGGACTGATTTAGAAAAGAGAAATATGACTTCTCAGTATACAAAATAGGGGCATTAAGCCCAATTGCAATTATTTGCTTTAAAAAAATAATACTGAGAGTATTATTCTCTCTCTAAGAGTCAGAAGAAATAGGAGATCTTTTCAGGCCCCTTTCTGATAGAGAGTTGGAACCAGTAGAAAGGAGCAGCATGAGTCTTGCCAGTTTTCTTTCAGGGCCCAGAGAATATCACCATAGGCTGGGATCCTGCAGACTTCCTGATGAACTCTGGTATAGGACTTTGAAAGATCAGGTTTCTTGGATTCAATAGCTTTGACCCTCCTAACCACTGGAGGAGACGTTAAAATGATTTATGAAAACCTGGGACACCAACCAGCAAATCAACTGGAAGAATAAGTAAGTCTTAGTTCTGGTGAGCAAACCATAAAATGCCAGCTCATACCAGTGAAATGTGTGTAGTTAGAGCAGATTGTCATCAAATACACCATTGTGGCTACAAGCTAAACCATGAGAGGCAAATCACAGTTAAGACCTAGAGGAGTGTGCGTACAGAAGTCAAAGGGACAGAGGGGAAAGGTATATTTTTTAATTCCATGTTAAAATATATAAATAATAACCTTAAGTCATGTCATAGGTGGGATAAACTGAAAGCAGAAAGTGGAAGGGATTTGGCCAATGCCATTCAAGTGGGTGTTTGCAGAACCAGGATCAGACTGGGCGTGCCAACCCCTCCTCTTGCATCCTTCCCGCAGGCCTCTCTGCACATACTGCTTCAGCTTCAAGGAACCACGGGAGAGGCCTCACAGCATGAAATGTTCCAAAAAAGTGCTTTGCTTGGTGAGGAGTTGGATGTCAAGGCTGGTAGTGAGCCACACAGAATGGCTGGTTGCGTGGGTGCAAGAGCCATGCAAATATACTGCTTCAGTGGTGTGGAGGGGTCATCCCTCATCCCAAACACTTGATAACCCCGTGCTGACCCCATGCTAATGATGGCTTCTTCTTGCCCGCTCCTGAGAAACCTCCCTTCCACTGAGATTTTGGCCCAAGGTTAAAATTTAGACTGAATCAAAACAACCTCAGTAAAAACAACAGGGTGCCAGTAGCTTATCACGATATGGAGACTCATGAAAGAGGCTGAGCAGCAGCCTTGCTAGAGACCTGGGCACCAAAACTAGAAAAGTGCTCAGGCTGCATAAAGTGCCTTTAAGATCTGTCTTATTAGTGTAATGTTACCCTGCCTTTAAAATAAAGCATTTGAATGTGCTGTTCAGACATACTGGGTGAACTTCTGGCCTTACACTAGTACTAAAATAAAGACCAGGATACATTTCGTATTTCACTTCATAATATAAGAACTTGAAATAGTTATATAGTGATTTATAAAAATACATAGATTATGGATATAGATCTAGATACATGTATATTCTAGCTCTGAGTGCCTTTTTTGTTGAGCAATTTATCCGCAAACGTAATTTGATTGCTAATGCAACCCCAAATGCACTCATCAAATATTCTGAGTACATTCAGACAGCATTGCAAACTCTTTGATGCTCTTGATCTGTGCTCTGAGTTTGTTCATGTGGATAATATGGAAAATTATTACCAGATCTAGAAAAAGAAAATGCCAGTAAAATATAATTAATTTCTTCTGCGAATTTTAATATTTTTTGGTCACATAATGGCACTAGGTATGTTAGATTAATTCTTAAATACTTGTGAATAAAAATGGGTTATTCCTGAGTAATGACTGTACAGTCTAATACTACGTGCAATATAGCAAATGAAAATTTTATTCTGAGTAATATTTGAGAAACTTGTTAATATGTATGCTCTGGAGTAAAATACCTGTTCTTGGTCATTGACAGTATACTTCCTAACACAGCCTGATTGAAAATGTATTCATTCATGGTAAGCTCAGTTAAGTAGTCTTCAGCAGTAAACTAGGCTTCTTTCAAGTGGCTATGTACTTTGCTCTGTGTCACAAATCAATTTCATGTAAAAACAGAATGAAAACTTTCAGAAACAAGCCACATTTTATGGAGAAATAGCTCTAACACTCACCTCAAAACAAAGAGCAGAAACTACTGGCATGCAATTCAGAAATGACTGAATCAAACAGCTTTGGTCAGAGTAACCTTCCAACCATCATAAAGTTTACTTTTTTTGTTTGGCCAACAGTAAAGCACAGATAACAAGTTCATATTTTTTGTTATAATCAAAAATTTATTGAGAATTTGTACAGAAAAATATAACCATGTACAGGGGTAAGCACTGCACAGTGAAGAGGCTTGGGCATTTTACAGTCAATGGTGTTTTATAGTCAAAACTGAACTGCATAATGTTAGGCAAATTCAGTGTCTAAGAGATAAAAAGATTTGTTTTCCCTGTTCAGACCAGTCTTTGTGAAATTGTCCCTTTATGAGTCTCCAACCTACAACAGAAAAAAAGAGAGCATTTTAATATTCTTCTAAAGAAAGAAGTACATAAGGCTATGAGGACATCTTGATAGTATTCATACATAGTTATAGTAGTTGGAAATTAAAAATGTAGCATGTAAAACACATGAAGGCAAGGGATTATTTCTGATCACGAGGCTATCAATTTACCTGTGTTAAAAGAAACAGTAATGTAGAAGTCATACTCAAGTCAAAGTACAAATATTTCTGTAACAAATTGGTAAACAAAGCCAAATTCTCTAAGATACAGCAAGCTTAACACTTCAGCTGTCCATGCTCAGTGTTTGGAAGGATTACTATGTTCTGTTGTCATTTTAAATATCTCCTCGTCCCTCTGGTCGAACCTGTTTGGAGCTGCCTAAGTTGTGCTGCTGTCCATCTACTGACAGTCTGTTGAATGGGATGATTTTCATTGCAGTTTTCTTCATGGAGTACCACCGGTCACGCCAGGTTGCCCAGATAATGCCATTGTCATATCCGGATGGACCAGCATCTTTTGATGTGTACACACCATCTAAAAAATATCAGTTGGAGCAAAACAGTTAGCTGCTTTCTGAAATAGTTAGGTTGTCCATACATTTTTCTGGTACTGACACCTCCATGGCATCCCTGGGCATGCTAACAGTCCCCACTCTCTGCCCTTCTTCCCTCAAGTTTGCTTCTCTCAGGACTGAATCTCCTACTTTTGCCTGGAGAGCATCTGTAAATTCCTACTGTTGGTGCTGACAGCTGTGGCAAAGAATGGGCTATGCCAGCTTTGAGAAATCCAGATGGTAAAACAGACTCAGTGAAAGTGATCCATTTTTCTTTGTCACTGCAACGTGATAAATGTCCTGGCTTACAGGTATTTAGAAGATACTTCACCTATATAATATTTGCCATTGAGGTGGCCAGCATGACATCTGTTCATCCACCATCCGGATCCATCTTGCTCAGCACAGTTGCCTTCGAATTTATCATTGTCGTTATCATAGGTACTGAACTGCATGCCGTTATGGGACGTAAAAGATTTGTCACTTGGATCATCTCCAAAGTCAAAGCCATCAAAGGCATCCCCGGCTTCACCACCGATAAAGTAGGCATAAGTCAGTCGATACTTGTCCTGTTCACTTCCCACTTTGAACACAGCATAGTCAGCAGTGCTGTTACCAAAGGAGAATGGTGAAAATGAGCACACTGCATTCCCAGTACATGCACAAATGAAAAAAACATGGGTGTTAGAACTGCAGAAAAGGTGTCTGTGGCATCCTAGCCTTTGAAAAGGGATTGGTTTTGCATGGTTGTGTGCCTCAGGTCAAGTGTGCCTCACATACATCCAACCAGCATTTGGGCTCCAGCATCAGACATGGTTTCTGACTACTAGTCCTCACTGATATTTGAAAGATCTACAATATATGGGCACAAATGTATATATACATATCTCCCAGGTTCATAAAACTTAGGCTTACTTAGGTTATGAGGAAGTTCTTGGTGGGAGGAAGGAGTGCATGTCTCAAGGAATAGCAACTATAGTGAACCCTCCTGCAGAAAGGCAAGGCAAGGCAAGACAAGGCAAGGCAAGTTGGAAGGCACCTAAAATCATCATCTAGTCCCTAAGGTGCATAAGATGTGGAGAAACTTTAAGAGAAGAAAGAGATTCTTTCTGCCAAATAAAGTAGGCCTGCCAACACGTGGGCTTCAGACATGACTGCTGTCACAGCTGTGAGTTCAGGAGCCAAAGCAGTGTCCTGTGCATGTTAGCAAGTCTAAGGTCTCCTCGTTGCTTCAGAGCACTGTACAAACTGACGCAGCAGTGGGAGCAGTAGGTTTTAAGCTGTCATTTTCAAAAGCATCATGAGCAAATACCTTTTTTTGCCATTCCAGTCCTCCAGTTCTATTCGTAAAGTGTATGGCAGAGTGGACTGCGTAGTTATTAAATGAATCTTTTCATTGCCCAGCCAGAACTCAGTGGTGTCACCTGGAGACAGATGTCCAAATCCTTCCTTGTACTGAACCCAATTTTTCTTGAAATCTTCACTCCCATCCAGTCTCTGGTGAGAAAAAAAAAGAAAAAATCAATAAAAAAGATATGTATCTCATGTAGGTAAATAAAAACAGTGCTGATGCAATAAGCTTGCTCATGGTAATAATGCATAAGTGGCATACCCTCTGTAAAACTGTCCAGCCGTTGCCATATGAGTCAATCTCACAGTAGACTAGGAATGACTGCTGGGCTTTCTGAGGCTTGATAAAGTAAAGACCACTTTTTCTGGCACCTTTATTTGCAATATCTTGACAATCTAAAATAAAGATATTCAAAGGTTCATTATTAAACTAGCTACAGTTCTATCCTCATGTTTATTTGACATTGTAAATTTCTTAGTGCAAGAAATACAATTCATCTAGATGTCATTGTTGCAAAGTTAGTTATTTAGTCCACATACTTTGTCATTGGCATTTTTTTTGCTGAAAGTCACAGGACTTGTGTAAGATGAGGAGGACTTGAGACTCACATAGACTTTTAGTGACTTAAATTTAAAATATATAGTCATTGCATTAATATCTACAGCAACAAAAAAAGTACTTTTGGAGCAAATGGAATAATAATTTTTTTTTTTAGGTGGCTCGATAGAAATGTGATAATGAGTTATCTTCTGTTTGTCCTATGTCCATGGAAATTCTACTCATGCCCCTCATGCTTAGCACACATTTTGGGATAATCATATTTTGGCCACAAAGGTGAAGCGAGACCTCTGTTCTGCCTGAATGCCCTGTTTGCACATCATCTACCTAGCACTTAAATTGATCCAAGTACTGTTGTCATAACTTGTAATCTCATATATCTTTGCAGAAATCTATGGCTTGTAACTGAATTAACCCTCCACCATACAAGAAGCATTTTGGGCACCTCTTCCAGTTGTCTCCTGTATTTCAGCCGTGTCTCTGCATGGCTCCTGACACTGTGCTTCAAGATGGGCAATCTTCTGTTTCAGCTGCGCGATCTTGTTGCTGTTCAATATATGTGTATCTGTCAACTGTCTGGACAGAGAGACATAAAAATAGCGTGTTGTTTCAACTGTTTCTGAATAGGCAATACACATTTCCCCGTACATGTCTCACCTACGTAGCACATTGCTACATACACACCTGTAAAACGGGTGTCTCTGTTAGCAGAGATAATTAAAGTTGAGGAAACTAGCCAAAATGGGAAAGCATGCACTTAATCTTATGCAAAACTTGACTATAATCAGCAAAACTCAAACTCAAAGTAATTAATGTATGAACATAACTCTATGGAAAGTTTTTCTTTGTTCTCCTGAACTAAATGATAAATTATTCCTCTTTGATTATGGATGTATTTGTAAAACATAAGTGCTGTAAATAAACCACTGCAAGTGTCAGAATGCCTAAATTGTCTTTGCCATAATGTTATAGAAGTGGACATTTTTCTACTTTCAGGTCAAAAAACATATCCTTAAGATTTAGAAAAGTTATTGATGTTTGCATTTTTATTTTCACTGTCAATTTACGAAAGAATACCACTGAATTTATAGTTACTTATGATTTATATTAATGTAACTGAGCTGATTTTCATGGATATATGCAGCAAAATTTGCCAGAGTGAATGATTGTATAAATATTCCACACACACTGCATTACAGTACAATCTCATGTTAATAAAATCTCCAAAGGACATGAAAAAAAATTTTGGCATGGCTGGCACAACAAAAGAAACATAAATAAAAATATTGCCATGGTTCCTGACATTTTTATCTGTCGCTTCATGCATAACTAATGGCTTATGCAGATGAGCTGAGAATGCAATATCAGATCCTCATGATCCTTCTGTGTCTTTCTAGGCAGCTACTCATGACAGTGTGGGCACAATGGTCCACATGAGCACAAAAAACTTTTCTGAGGGTGCCTTAGCTGCACTTGATAAAAGAACACAAAGACAACAATTTGGATTGTCAAGTGATATAAAAGGTGGAAGATACCTACTGTATAGTAGTTTCATGAGACAAAATAGTGTTTTCATATCTGATAATTTCTTCAATTATTTTCCTGGACTTACGAGTGAAATCCTCAACTGAATCTGTAAAACCGACAAACGTATAAAATTATTGCAATTAGCCAAATTAAACCCCAAGAAAACTACATAAACTATGTATTTCAGTTGTGTAGTTATTTTTATTTTCTCACTTGGTAGCGTCTGCTTCTCTGGAGGATAGAGGGTTTGGATGTTTTGAATCAAATGTTCCACTGTTCCTGTGGAGTTAGTAATTTGCCGCAAAATTCTCTCTATTTCCTGCAGTTCATTATCCATAGTGAGATGATATTTATTAAAGAAATCTGCAATGCCACAGGTCGTTGGGCAGTAGCTACCCTAAAGAGGAAAGAATAATAATTGGCACTGTTTCAGGAGCAAAAAAAAGGAAAGCGGAATATCTGGGCAGGGGGACTTTCAGGCACTGCTTATACAATCGGTTTTGGCTAAAAGAGGGCAGGCATTTGCCCTTTGTCCGCAGTATCTGCATTTACGGAGGCTGTTGAGTTTCACGCTGTGGGTATGTACACATAGAGCACAAGAAAACAGCGCATGCTGTTACTGGTAGCGTCTTCTGGATACGTGCTTTTGTCAACAGCCCAGCCTCCCCGATGTTTTTACCAAGGTATACCTCTCAATAGATAATGGGTTTAACCACAGAGCATTTATAAGTATCAAAAATAACAATGAAGATCAAATAAAGCTACAAGTGATAATGGCAGTTAATAATCAGCCTAGAAAAGCTGTAATGAGACTCTTAAGACAGAATAAAATTGTTGAGGTACTTACAAATCGTTCGTCTAATATGCAGCAGTTTTCTCTGGTAGCAATGTACTGAAGAGAAGAAAGAAGACCATTTTCAGCGGATTTTCTCTGACAGCGCTTTCCACGCTGACGTCTTTTCAAACACTGCCTCTTTACTTACCGCCATGCTGGTAGAAAAGAGCAGGGAGAGGAGAGGCCCCAGGGGAGCCCAGCTCCGTAACCTCAGCACCATCATGCCTGTCCCACTGAGCGCTGCCGATGGCTCAGTGCGCGTCTCGTGGTCAGCAGCCGAAAATGTTCCACCCAGCACAGGGCAGCAGCAGTTTAAGGGAGCAGGCTGAAGCTGGGGGCGGGCACTGGGAGGTGGCGGGAAGAGGTGGGGTAGGGGCTTGAGGTGGATTCCCAGAATCTGCACACATCTCTTACTCCTCCTGTTTTCAGAACCTGCTTCCCACTTACCCGCTTCATCTCTGCTCCAGCAAGGAGGTCTCAGGGGAGGACAGAAGGTGAGACAAGGCATGGAGATGTTACTTCTAGTCACAGGAGTGTAAGAAAACTCACACATGGCTTCAGGATGGGGCTGGCGGAAGTTTCACTCAAACAGCCCAAGGAAAAGTCACAGTAACTATCCAAATTACATGTAACAGCTACCAATAGCCTAACAATAAATAATATGGATACTTTGAGGTTACACAGCACTCTCCACCCCCTGAACTCAATGTGCTTTGCCAAGAGAACTGACATCATTCTCTATGTTCTGCAGATGACAAAATTGGGGCAGACAAAGGTACGAAGACACCTTCGGCAGTGCCACATCTGGAAAAGAAGCCTGTGGTATTTCTCACAGGTGATGAAAGCATGAATCTTCCCTATCCTTCCACTCAAGATGTCCATTTGAATGACTTTGGTCAAAGGTTCCTTACTGGGGAATTAATGTTGCCAGTATCTGCCTTATTCAATACGCTTACAAGACTGGTGACAGGCTCCCTCTTCTGCTATGGGATTTATCACAGCCAAATTATTTTATGTATGGGCTTCTGCTTCTGACATTTAGGCTGTGGCTTCTCCAGATCAAGCCTGCTTTTGTGTCACAGAATCACTAAGGATGGAAAAGACCTATAAGATCATCCAGTCCCACCATCAGCCCAACACTACCATACCCACCAGACCATGTCCTCAAGCACCTGTCTGTACAAGACCACATGTGATGGGACAATGTGGGATGCAGATTTTGACTTCAATACACGTAGTTTGACCAAGTGACGAAAAGAATGATGGAACTGGGGCTCACTGCTAGATCTGTTGTTACTGGGGTCGGCTCTGTAACTTCAGGCAAATGACTTCACCTCTGTACAGCAGGATTGATGCTTCAACACTACTCAGTAAGTATTTAAAAACCACGGACAGAAGCACTCTTAGAAGCTATGTGTTATATTATTACAAAATTAGGAATTATTATGCCCTGAAACTTGGAGATTTCCTGACCTGTATATCCTCTCTCCATCTGGTCACATACAGTCAGCCAGGTTTCCCACCAAGCCACATACTGCCAGAAGGAAACCTAGGCATTTACGATGCCAACGATCATATTTGCGGGACACTTGTGAAGCTAAAGCACTGTTCATGGGAGAGTCAGCTTTCCAGTAACTGTGCTGATGACCAGTGAGTTAGCTGCCAGGCTGCCAAAAGTCCTTCCAAAGGATGACCGATGCTAGAAGTTTACCCTTCCAGATCTGGCATTAATTACTTTCAAGAGTCATGTGCAGAATGTGCTTCTGTTGTCCCTACTGATACAAATAGGACATGGCTCCACCATTTACATGGTTAGTCATGTTTCCTAAAAAGTCAAAATAAAAGTAAATAGAACTGGGTAAAAGTCTTCCTGCTCTTGCGTTTTCTACTGTTGCTTCATTCATGCAGTTAACCCAGTCTCAGGAAACTACCAGTGAATCTCCTTGCCACTGCTGCTCACACATTAAGCTTGCTTTGCTGCTTCACAGGCTGCGGGTCCAGAGGACCCCAGAGGTACAATGTCAGCAGTTGCACACCACCAGGATTCCCTTTGATATGATAATACATAATGAGTAGGTTTCTGACATGAACTTTGTAAAATAACGTGTCTGGCTTCAACCACAGATGTACACTAAGAGTGCAGACGGGCACGTAATGCTCACGACATGATCAGTGAACCATGTAACAGAATCCAGGTATCACTCATCCTTTAACACAGTGAAGAACATACCCTTTCCTTTTGTCACTAACAGTAATACATATATAGTAGTACAATATTCTTCTATCTTTCAGAAGAATATTTGGTAAGAGAATATAGAAAAATTTGTCTTGTGTTCCTAAGTAAGAATTTCAGGAGTCAGAAAAGATGACACCAATCAACACTAGGAGTAATAGTTCAGTGAATCCTGGGATAAAATGCCAAACATTTTAGAATTAAAACACAAGAATGGCTGTAATGAAATAATTCCAATGCATAAATAGAGTTCATTGTTCTAGATGACTGACTAGTTGGGTTGGTAAAACAAAAGGATCCTTATGCCTACAAATGGGTTAGGAATAGGAAAACTGAATTTTCAGAGAGGTGCTTGTGTTACACAACATTATCACTGTATAGATCTACATTTATGAAGGGATGGATATTAAACATTGCTTTAATGATTACTAAATACTTGTGCACTTCATTTGTAAGTGTTGCTTTGTTGTATTTCTGGTTGCAACTGCTTGTACTTAGCAGAAGATTTAAATATTTAAGCGTCAGGAAATTTTTATTTGCTTTACTGATTACATGGTCATGATTTAGCCTTGAATAATGAATCCTTTCATCTATTTTCTTCCTATTTTTTCTATGGTTTCACCTTGCATGACTTAGAGATAACATTTCTGCTTTTCATTAAGTTGAGAACAACGTGTGTTCTTGGTGGCATGGGTATGTAGTATTTTTCCTCCCTTACATACGCTGATGTCTTGGTTTGGCTGCAAAATAGCTGACCCACTTACTGAACAAATGTGCTGAAGACCTAGTTGCACCCTGCGACGTGTCCAACATCATTTGACTGTGTTGATTTCCTGGCCAGTTTTTTTTTTTTCCAGTAAGTCTATTTGCTGATTTGGTAATAAATGAGGAATGGTTCATGCAGCACAGGCAGAAGCGAGAGTTCTCCCATTCAGTGTACTTTTTTCTTGCAATTTATTTTTTGAATAAATAGTAAAGGTGGATCATTATTTGTTTAAAGGAGCCTTCTTCAACTTAATTTTGATTAGTATTTTTGTCAAACAGCCGCTGGGAGCGTATCCAACACCTTTGCATTATTCATAGTAAATCTTCCCTTGGAAATACAAATCAGAAGAAATATGCTTGTATTTGGAAATTAGGTCCTGGATATCAGAGTATTTTTAAGGATGCCTTGGAAAAAAACACATTTTTCAAACTTCTGACTCATACTTCATGCTTTAAGAATCTAACTTGAAAAATCAGTTTATACCATTTCAGATTTATCCATTTTAACATTTTCAGTGGGGTTTGTTATTATTATTTTCACTGAAA